CTAGTGCTGCGAGATAAACTCTTTGTGAAGGGTTGGACGAGTGCCTTGACTACTGCGCTGGTTCCTGAAGGCTTTTCCCTGTTTCAGGATATCCCCGTTCCTTCGAGATCCTTGGGTTCAAAGACTGTTTCTACCTCTGCTGTTCTTCCAACCGAAGTTTCTCCAGAAGATGATTCTGCAAGCAAGACCCAGGACAGGAATGTTGCCACTGAAACGGTGGATGTTGAAGGGATTGAAACCCCAAAGACTGAAGCCACGGGAGATGTGGTTAGGGAGGCTTCTACTTCTCAGGAAGTTGGAGCTTCCTCTACTTTTCCTCCCGCAGACGGCCCTAACAAAATTGCTGATGCTGCTCCTGAGTTGCCCACTATTGATGAAAATTGATGTTGATAAGATTGGAACTTTTTTGCTTTTCTGTTTTGATATATTATGGCTCGGTCTCCATGACAAGCTTTCTTTCTACACTTGCCAAGACAATTTTTCTTTTCTCTTTTTTTTTTCTTTGCTGCTGGTTATGAGGCTATCTGTGCCTTTGGATGATAGAATTTTCTCTTTGAACTTGCAATCTGATGCTGTTTGGCTTTTATGTCTGAATGTTTTCTATACTGCCTGCCCCCGGCCGAGCACTATTGGGACCTCGGGGCCGAAAAAAGCTCGGTCTGGCTCTGTACTGCTTTTAAATAGATGCTCTGTCTGATTTTGTACTGCTTGCCCCCGGCCGAGAATTGTTGGGGCCTCGTGGCCGAACTGATGCTCGGTGCGACTTTGTACCGTTTGACCCCCGGCCGAGCACTGTTGGGACCTCGGGGCCGAACTGATGCTCGGTGTGGCTAACGGATATGTGGTATGGCGGTGCTTGGGTTCGTAAGTGGGTTTTACTTAGGTCCAGGTTGGTTTCGAAAGAAAACAATTGTTTGCCCCCACCTGGAGCTAAGTAAGATCAGTACTGAAGATTGTGCCCTTGTGTGGAACTGCTTGAACCTGCTTCAACTTAGATAGCATAGGTGTATTTGAATGCGATGAAGGCATGAAAAGGTGTCTTACTCAGGTCCAGCTTGGTTTGAAAAAACAATTGTTTGCCCCCAGCTGGAGTTGAGTAAGACTAATGCTGGAAGCTTACTCCTGATAGTACCTGGTCATGCTTGTTCCAACTCTGTTTGTTTGAGTCAATACTGAAATGTTGACGTGTTGATACTTAAGAGGTTCTGTAGATGCAAAGATGTTTACTTAAGATATGTTAGTGTGATTTCCACCAAGCAATTCCACTTGGTTAAAGTCCAATTCAGTTGCCAAACATTATTCCACCAAGCAATACCACTTAGCATGTTTAAATGCTAACCAAATTTATATTCCGTCCAGTCGTTCTGAAACTAAGTCCATTTGGGCAAAGACCAAAGTTAATTCTGTTTGATAAACATCAAAGCTAATTCTGTTTGGTGAGGACCAAAGCTAATTTCGTTTGGTGAACATCAAAGCTAATTCCATTTGGTAAGAACCAAAGCTAATTCCGTTCGGTAAACATCAAAGCTAATTCCGTTTGGAAAGGACCAAAGCTAATTCCGTTTGATAAACATCAAAGCTAATTCCGTTTGGTAAGGACCAAAGCTAATTCCGTTTGGTATGAACCAAAGCTAATTTCGTTTGATAAACATCAAAGCTAATTGCGTTTGGTATGAACCAAAGCTAATTCCGTTTGATAAACATCAAAGCTAATTACAAGAATTTGACAAATTTGAGAGAAATGGGGAAGTATTTGCATTGGTCAACAGATAAATGCCCTTACATTCTGATAGAGAAGTTGGGGGATAATTCTACTGATAGTATTTCTTGAGATTTGCTACGTTCCAGGGCCGAGGTATAGCTCTGCCATTCAGATCCTCTAGGTAGTAAGCTCCGTTTCTAACAACGACTGTGACTTTGTAGGGACCTTCCCAGTTAGGCCCAAGTTTGCCCTTGCCAGGCACCCGTTTGTGATCCATAACCTTCCTCAAAACCAGTTCTCCAGGCGCAAATTGCCTTGGGAAAACTTTTTGATTGAAACTTCTGATGAGCTGCTGTTGATACGCTTCAAGTCTGATCAGCGCTGCTTCTCTTCGGCCCTCCGCCATATCCAGTGCTTGTGCAATAGCTTCCTCGTTACTGGAGCTTTCAAATAATTCAGACCGAAGGGTTGGGAGACCTACTTCAAGTGAGATGATGGCCTCCATTCCATAAGTTAGGGAGTAAGGTGTTTCCCCCGTTGAACGCCATGCTGTGGTTCGGTAGGCCCATAATACGTGAGGTAACTCTTCAACCCATTTGCCTTTTGCATGTTCAAGCTGCTTCTTTACTCCGTTGATGATGGTTTTGTTTGACGCTTCTGCCTGTCCATTACACTGCGGGTACCCTGGAGAAGAGTTCATATACTCGATTCTGAGGTCGGCACAAAACTTTCTGAAGACCTTACCATCGAACTATGTTCCATTGTCCGCAATCAGTACCCGCAGAATGCCGAAACGCACCACCACATTCTTCAAAACAACCGCTTCGTGTCTACCTCTTTGATACTTGCCAGCGCCTCAATTTCAACCCACTTAGTGAAATAGTTGATTGCGGTAATGAAGAATCGCCTGTTCCCAGTGCCTCACGCCAATGGTCCGACAATATCCAGTCCCCATTGCGCAAAGGGCCATGGGCTGGTGAGTAGAGTGAGATTTTTGGCCGGTTAATGAATGAATGGAGCAAACCTCTGACATTTGTCGCACTTTTGTACATACCGCTGCGCATCTTGTTGCATCTGTGGGCACCAGTACCTGTGAGTGAGGGCTCGGTGTGCCAGTGACCTTCCGCCAATGTGGCATCCACAAATCCCATCGTGAATTTTGTAGAAAACATTCTTGATGAGATTTGGATGTACACATAGGAGGTAGGGGCCAAGATAGGAGCGTCTGTAAAGCTTCCCAGATGGTGAGATCCAGAACCGAGCTGACTTGTGTCTAACCTTGTTGGCTTCCTTTTTGTCTTTGGGGAGTGTACCAGATTTCAGAAAAGCAAATATCGGATCCATCCATCTTAGCTCTAAGTTGTTGTAGAGGACTGGAGATGCAATACTTGGTTCTGGTACAAACTCGACCCAAACTTTTCTGGCATCCTTTGTATTCACTGACGAGCCGAGGCATGCCAGGGCATCAGTGTGGCTATTTTTGTCCCGACTGATTCGTTCCACCCGTATAGATTGAAATTTTCTGAGTAGGTCCTTGGCCTTACCTGCGTACATAGCCATTCTTTCATCTCATGTTTCATAGACCCCAGAAAGCTGGTTTACCACTAGTTGTGAATCGTTGAAAACAAGAAGCTATTCTGCACTGAAGTGTTCGACGCTACGCAAGCCAGCCAATAACGCTTCGTACTCGGCCTCGTTGTTTGAAGCCTTCCAACCGAGCCTGAGAGCCTGTTCCTAGATGAACCCTTCTGGTGAAATAAGTACTACTCCTGCCCCCGAGCCTCGGTTATTGGACGATCCATCAACATAGAGCTGCCAGATGTTTCCAATAAAGAGTTTCCAAGCATCCGAAGCGCAGGGTTTTCCTTGTTCGGTAGTGCATGGCACCTGTGCTGAACTCGGATCCCTCGGTTCGGTACTCTGGGTTGGAGCAAATTTTGTGACAAAATCCGCTAAGACCTGGGCCTTGATCGCTGTCCTGGGTTGATACCGAATGTCAAACTCACCAAGTTCTACCGCCCACTTTGCTGTTCAGCCAGAGAAATCGGCTCGGCTGAATACAGATCTGAGGGGGAATTCAATGAGGACGTTAATGGTATGCCCCTGGAAGTGATGTTACAGCTTTCTTGAGGCGATGAGCAACGCATATGCTAACTTTTCCAATGGTAGATACCGTGTCTCGATGTCTAGTAAAGTCTCGCTGACGTAATAGACAGGCCTCTGTTCCTTGTCAACTTCTCGAATTAATACTGCACTCATGGCATGATCTGAGACTGCTAGATATAGGTACAGCTCCTCTCCTTGTTCTGGAGTGGACAGCAGAGGAGGTGTACTGAGATATCTTTTGAGGCTTTGCAGTGCTTCGGTACATTCATTATTCCATTCAAATGCTACCTTTTGCCTTAAAAGCTGGAAGAATGGCTTCATCCGATTTGAGGATTTGCTAATAAACCGATTTAGTGCGGCCGCCATTCCGGCCAGCTTCTGCAGCTCTTTAGCCTTTGCTGGTACTTCAAGATCTCGTATCGCTCTGATCTGATCTGGATTCACTTCAATTCCTCTGTGAGTGACCATGTAACCCAAGAACTTCCCTGTTCCTACCCCGAAAACGCATTTCGAGGCATTGAGGCGAAGCTGGTGGTTTTTCAGGATGCCAAAAACTTCTCTCAAGTCTGTGAGATGGTTTGCAGCGAGCTTGCTTTTTACTACCATATCGTCTATATATGCTTCCATGGTTTTTCCCAGTTGGTCCTTGAACATCCGTGTAATCATTCGCTGGTAGGTTGCCCCGGCGTTCTTAAGGCTGAATGGCATTACTTTATAGCAATAAGTTCCCCTTGGAGTGATAAACGCTATCTTTTCTTGATCCGAACCGAACAGTGGTATTTGATGATAACCGCTATAAACGTTCAGAAAGCTCATGCGCTCATGCCCCGCTGTTGAGTCTACTAGTTGATCAATACGAGGCAGCAGAAAGCTATCTTTAGGGCAGGCTTTGTTCAAGCAAGTGAAATCAACGCAAACTCTCCATTTTCCGTTCTTCTTCTTGACTACAACTGTGTTGGACAGCCATTACGGGTACTAAACTTCCCTGAGTGCTCCTGAAGCCAAGAGTTTTTTCGACTTCAGCAATTACTGCTTCGGTGTGCTCGACTAACGATCTCCGACTTTTCTGCACAATGGGCCGAGCTGAAGGGTTGATGTTGAACTTGTGGCAAGCAAATTCTGGGTCCAACCCTAGAGTATTATATGCCAACCACGTGAATACCTCCATATTCTCCCTCAGCAGTTCCAGCAGCTAAAGTTTCTCATCAACGCCTAGCGAGGTATTGATAAGGAAGTACTTTTCTGGGTCATCCCCTTTTACCAAGACTTTCTCCAAATCCTCTACCATCTTTTCCCCTGGGGTTCCCCCTACATCTTTCAAGACTGGTTGTTCAGCCACTTCTACCGTCTGTACCTGATTGCAGAGCTACTTTGCCTTTAATGCTGCCGTGAAGCAATGTTTGGAAGCAATTTGATCCCCTGAGATTTGCTCTACTCCGTGTTCCGTTGGGAAACGGATGAGCTGGTGGTAGGTTGAAAGGATTACCTCCATTTGATGAATCCATGGACGGCCAAGTATGGCGTTGTAAGGGGATGGTGTATTAATAACCAAGAAATCTATCTGGAGGGTTTTTGTTCCCGCTACGACTGGCAACACTATTCTACCAAGCGGCCATTCTGGCTGTGAATTGAAACCGACCAATAGGGCTGCCGCTGGGGTGAGGTGCTGCTCGGAGAGACCAAGCTTTCTGAACAAATCATAATACAATATATCTACTGTACTACCTTGATCTACCAAGACTCGTTTTACATCAAATCGTTTCTCAATTCCCACAGTTATAATTAATGCATCAGTATGTGGGTGATGTATGCCTTCTAAATCTTTGCTAGTAAATGAAATAGTGCACAAGGGGGATTTAGGTACTGTACGTACCTTTTTCGATGCAGGCTCCACTGACATGACCCGCTGAATTTGCGCAGCCTTAGCGATCTCTTCTTTCAGTGCCTCCTCAGACTCTTGAGTCGCTGTCCCGTGGATCACATTTATTATCAGCCGAGGTGGATGCTCGATGTTTGGTTCTGGTAGCGGGTTCCCCAGTTCGATCACTTCCTTATCCTGATCAATGTAATCCCTTAGGGGTCCAGCTGCCACTAGGTCTTCCAAGTGTTGCTTCAGTGCCCTGCAGTTCTGAGTCATGTGCCCCCTGTCTTGGTGGTAGGTGCATCTGAGCTTCTGATTGCGCCGAGCTGGATCTCCCAACATTTTCGGCGGCCAAACGAAGAAGGGCTCTCTCTTGATCTTTTCCAGGATTCGATAGATTAGCTCTTTGAATACAGTTACAATGGCTTCATGGGATTTAGACTTATCTACTTCATTCACTGCAATCCCTCGGTGTTCTCCTCGGTCTGATCTCTTCTTGTGCCAAGCTGTTTGTTCTACTGATGCTACCTCGATGGGGATCTGATCGTCTTCGAGGCGTGCGTACTGCTCAATCCTGGCACGCAAATCTTTCAAAGCTGTGGCCGGGCGCTTGGTAAGTGATTGTCTCAGCTTACTTTCCTGGCGCAGACCATGTTTGAAGGACATAACGGCCATCTGCTCACTACACACATTTTCCTCCAGGTCATTGTATTCTTCCCAATACCTCCTAGCATAATTGCGCAACGTTTCCTCCTGCTTCTTTCGGAGGCCGAACAGTGTATTCGACTCCTTCGGGATCTTAGTATTGGAGACGAACCTGGCTAGGAACTCTTCGGAGAGCTGCTTCCAGCCATGAATCGATCCAGTGGGGAGATGATCGAACCATCGAAGTTCGGTTTCTCCCAAGCTGGATGGGAAGATTTTACACATCAGTGCCTTGTCTTGGTTCCATAGGGATATCATCTGTCTATAGTGGCTAATATGTGTCAGCTGGTCCAACTTCCTATCGTATGAAGTGAACTTTGGTGGGGTGAATTTCTTTGGAAGTCTTATGATCTTGATCTCCGGGGAGAATGGATAAGAAACGAGCCTGTCTAGTGCTCGGTGTTCCCTTTGGTGAACAGTACGGTCCAGATGATCCCGATTTTGTTCATTTTTCCTATTGACAATCAACCAAGTGCGAAGGTCTTGAGGAGGGTATTCGGTCATTTGACTGACGGTCTTCTGCCTCTTGGCCCTTTTCCGGCGTGAACCACAAGTGTGACTGCTTGCTGCCTCACTCTGTACTAGGATAGGTTGGCTTTGTTGTCCAGAATCATTCCTGGGGAACTTCTTCACTGGTGGCTCTCTGGATGAGCTCCTCCGTCGCAAACAAGAGGGCTCCGCTTCCGTCTTCTTTTCTGTTGGATCGCCCAGTACCCTCTTAAGTTGGGCTTTCAATTCTTGTATCTCCATCCCTATGGAGTCTATGATGCGATCTCTATAATCCTTTTCCAGAAGAAAGTGATGAGAAGAACCTCCGGCGAAGGGTAACCGGTGCTTGACGAATTCAAGGGTTCAATTATTGTTTCCAGTTTGTTCCTCCGGGACTGTTAGGAGTGCCAAACCTTTGTCCTTTGTTTTCTCTGTCTGTGGAGTATGTGTTGACGGCGGAATGTCCTCAATCCCCATCGCCGAGACTGAGTGCAGAGCTCAGAGATGAAATGATCCACGTTCACCGCACCAATTATGCGTACCGGATTCCGCACTAGATGAAAATGGATCGGGGCTCTGCACTCGGTTGGACTATCCAGTGACTGAGGTTCCTGCCACAAAAAGCACCGTTAGAGCTGCCCGGCCGGGGTTGGCCGGATAACCCCTCTGGTGTGGGAATTAGTGATCGGAGAGAGAATGTATATTGAGTTGAGCTTATAGTTGTACTTGGAATTGTTCAATTACCTTCAATGTGAAGTTCATGTTGTATATATAGTGTTCCTTGCTTGTTTCTCAAGGTGGGTTCATGGAGCTTGGATGCTGCCAGGTGTCCCTTTAGCATGGCTCATGGTGGGGGGTCACCTGTTGGTTGCCAATAAATGCATATACTCATTGTAGTCATGCTGATAACAAATCACATTCCTTTAGTTCAACAACTTCCGTGATTCTAAGTGTAGGGGACCAGCTGAGGTGGCAACCTGCACATGCACACGTTCACAGTTTCCATGTTTCCTTGCGAGGTTTCCTCAGTTCGGTACTGACATACCTCAGCTCGGCATCAGTATGCCCTGTCTCGGCCTTTTACAGGATCACTCATGGAGATAGGCTTATCCATTCATGTAACTTTGCATGGGCTCGGCTTATTTTCTGTTCGGCCCGTAGATTCAGTTTCGCAGCTCGGCTTAGCCCAGCACCATGGCTGGACCAGCCTTTCCACTGCGGGTTGGACCCAAGTGCTTGAGGACTTGGGTAGACTGCTGATCATGAAGTTGGACTTAATTGGTTTGCCCACATACTTATCCAGCCCACTTGGATTCGGGCTTCAGCATTGGGTCGGGCTTCAGCATTGGGCCGGCCCAAGGTTTAGACCCGACCCATTTCATTTTTAGTCCCTTCAACATTGAACGGTTCAGATTGTCAAAATGAAATTCACAATAAGTCCCACAAGCCCAGCAATACATTCCAATTTACAAAGAGGGTGTTTGGGAAGTGTAGTTTGGGTTAAAATAGTCAATAAAGATAAAATAGGTAAAAATAATAAATTAAATAAAATATCACATTCAAAACATAATTATTTAATTTTTCACTTTCATAATTATCAAATCAACTAAAAAAAATCAATCATGATTCTAAACATAATATTTTAAACCAAATTAAAATAACTAAATTTTTTTAAAAAAAATCAACTAAAATATCTTATTCCCGGCCAAAATTTCTCCTTTTCAATTAGACCACATGGGAGAATTTTATCACAATATAATAGCTCACCATATACGACAATCAATCTGCATCAATTTCCTAATAATTTGACATTTGCTTAAAGCAATGCGGATCTCAAGGCCCATGGTTCCTGGGCATTTCACAAAAGACAAAAGCATAAAAGGGCTAAATCCTTAGGATCTTAGATGTTTTACTCATACTTTATTGGCCAAACGGGCGTGGCGGGTAGTGCCCAAACCAAAATTGTTGCTGCCTAGAGACGGGTGATTATAATATTTTATAAAGTTTTAATTAATAGAGAGATACAAGAGCTCACGATTTATGTTGAAAATAAGAAAATAACTTAGGACTAACTAATTGGCGATTGATTTGAAGTATGAGTACGTGGTGCTCCGAAAGTACTGAATAATTTCCCGTCTAAAGTCCTGTTAGGTAAATATTGCCACGCCATCCTTTTTTGCAAGTTCATATTGGTAGTCAAGCCACGTGCCGATGGCGGAGTATATTATGGCCCTAGATAAAATACTTATCGTGATATATGTATTAATTAATATGTTAATTAGTATATTAACATTAAATATGATATTATTATTGATCCTATTCATTATACAAATTATAAATATAAAAAAAAATTTAATTATATTATGTCATTAATTAATATAATAATATATATAGTATTATTCATTAAACACAGGAGTTCAATGGGTTGTGGGTAATTGTCAAACTATCTCACCCTTTGAGGATCAATGGATACCAATCTTTCCTGATCCATTAGGTGGAAGGGACATGCATCGGGTATGGCCACTTATGAAGGTGGCCCATTTTATTGATCATGAACACAGATGCTGGCGAGACTAACTTGACAAGATTATTTTTTCCTGAAGAATGTAGCAGACATATTCTATCCATTTGCATACCAAGAGGGCAGTGTAAGGATAAATTAATATGGCGCCCAATTAACAGGGGGGAGTACTCCGTTAAATCAGGCTCTAAACAAGCCTTGTTTTGCTACTTTCCAGTGTTGCGGACATCATGTTAGAAAAATAATAATTTTTTGGTGATTTTAATACAATATTAAAGTGCTGTCAGTCCTCAATTGAGGATGATTAAAGTGGATTTAGATTTTTTGTAATAAAATCTTTACATCACATAAAGAATGATAAAAAATTATTAAGATTTGAATGAGAAATTGACTCATTAAGTTGACCTCATAAAAAGAGGTGTTCGAAAATATGGCTGCAGAGTTATACACATTACACGTGTATAAAATAGATATAACTCCTCTATAATGATGATGGATTAAAGTCATCAATTGAAAGTTTTGTAAAATGTATTGTCATCAATTGAAAGTTTTGCAAAATTAAATCTCTTGCATTTATTACATGAGTATTTTTCTCTCTCCCTCCATGTGTATAAAAAGAGGCCCTCTTCTTCAGCATTCTGTTGGACAATCTTCACTGTATTTAAAAAGATTAAATTCTGTTGTGTACAAAACAACAACAAGAATATAAAGAAATAAAGAAAAGAAGAGAATTTGTTTGATTACAAAAATCAAACTCAAAATAAAAATAAATAAATAAAACCACAGATTTTATTTTGTTACAAAAAACAAAAAT